AGAGCGAAGTAAAGCAAAACCAATTCAATGGTGTATTACTTTCAACGCTTAATTGAGTGTCGTTCCAAAACTCATGCTCAGTCATGCAGTCGAAAACGCTACCGCAATGTCGCAATGTAGCCAGTGTCGAGTTCAGGCTGTCTTTTGCGTTTTAAGAACGTTTGTTAGTCTTTTTCTTTATAAATACTAGAGTTGCAACTAAGTTGAAAAATGAGTCTTTACGCTGATATAATATAGAATAACCACAGGAACGTCATGTATGCCACTCACTTTATTCCCCCGTTCATTCCTTGATTCAGGTTAAATTGCAAGAGGAGGCGAAAGCTGTTACCCCTGGAATTCTCACACGCTTTGAAAAACTTCTTAAGGCCAATATAATGATGGGAAAGGATTCTTTGTTGGTGACAAGGTAGACGTCACACTTTTTAAGTCAGTCGGTTTGTCTGTCACTTATTCATTCATCGACTCAGCCCTTCTTTTGGTGGTTAATTCATTCATTCAACTAATCATACGATTTATTTAAGCACTAATGTACTCCTCTATTTTTGTTGCGTTCGTTTTTTGTTTGTTTGTTTGTTTCCCTTTTTGTGTTCTTTGCAGGGGTAAATCACGCGCGCTACGCTCACCGATCTTTCCTTTCACGCAGCTGCCCCTAACATATGCAGTGATCTTACGTGTGCCATCAGAAATATTGAATCCTTGAATAGGTTTAAGTGATCTAATGAGACTTTTTTATTCGAAAAAGCTTTTTAATATAATATATATGATATTTATATATTCACCCGTTTTAAAAAACGTTGCAATTTGAAAATATATAGGAATTATATACATTTTAGTTTTCTCATCAGAGGAACACTTTTTGAGGAGAAAATGAAAGGTGTATATATTTCATTTATTTTTCGAATTGACGGAATGGCTATCCCAAACATCTGACCTGAATCAGCCACGTAAAAGAGATGGTTTATAAACACCTGAGTTACTAAAGCTCAAACTAATTTAAACAAGGGGTTAAACACTGAAAGTTTGAACAAATTTCTCCAAATTAACGTCATAAGAATTGTCTGGAAGGCAGTAAGGAGAATTGATGATGAGATCTTGAGAATGAACGGGTAAATAACTTGGTTAACCCTTTCACCCCTAAGAGTGACTAACATCTAATTTCTCCTTTCAATATCTCCTCTTAATCACACATAAAGGTCACAAGAATAGAAGACATAATCACGCTCTTGATTGTTAAACAAATTCTCCATATCAGCACCTTAAAAATGTATAGAGCATAGTATGGAGAGTTTGCATACTGATGTTAGGGTGTAGAGGATTACATGAGCTTAAAAGATCAATCCAACCCCAAACCAAACTTTATTTGATTTAAGGCAAGATTTCCAAAGTCACCATGTGAGAGACGAGTCGGCTAATTGAATGCAAATCCGGAATAAGTGGAGATTTGTCACGGTAAGGATTCATTGAAATGTTTTTTCGAGAGATACAATTAGTCGTTGAAATGCTGGTTGGAGCTGGTATCCCTTTACTTTGCCAGATATATAACCATTGGCATAAGTTTGTGGAAAGGAACCAATTGAAACGTTTCCAAAGAGGATATCGATATTACGAAATGCTGACTCTGCTAAATGTCGATCCAAATTTAAAATAGATTTGTCCAAAAAATATTCAATTGAAATTCCTTGAGAGGAAAAATATTCAATAGACCCAATATTGAAAAGTTTCCAAAGGGGATATCGATATTACGAAATGCTGACTATGCTAAATGTCGATCCAAATTTAAAAAGAGATTTGTCCAAAAAATAATCGATTGAATTCCTTTAAAGGAAAAAGACCCAAAAAAGACTCAATTAACAGAAACTTGTCGAACAATACTAATCAAATACTTTCATTGGCGGTACTGAATTATTGCCTGCTCATTTTGACTTAAAAGCAACTATCATGCTCTATTTAGCAAATGTCGGTTTCTTTGAGAGAATAACCTGCAACTGTTGTGACTTTTAGCCTTAATGAAAAACAAACAGTCTTCTGTTTGCAAAAGTACTGAGCCATCGAGGCCATTCAGAAAAAAATTACTTCCGAATCTTGTCTCTTCTCGCAGTGACAGCAATCCAACATCCAGGGTGTACTGTTAACTCACGCAAAAACACTTGAGGTATACACACGTGGACAAAAATAGCGATTGTTTCGTTTTCTTATTTCTCCTTTCAATATCTCATCTGAATCACATATAAAGGTCACAAGAATAGAGGAAATGATCACGCTCGTGATTGTCAAACAAATTCTCCTTGTCAGCGCCTTTAAAATGTATAGAACATAGTATGGAGAGTTTGCATACTGATGTTAGAGTGTAAAGGGTAAACGAGCTTGAAAGATCAATGGCATGACTGCTCACTTACTTCAACCCAAGTTTTA